GCCTTGCATGCCTGAGGCCCTGGGTTCGATTCCTCAGCACCACATAAGCAAAATGAAAAAAGCCGGAAGTGGCCCTGTGGCTCAAGTGGTAGAGCTCTAGCCTTGAGCTGAAGAACTGAGGGACAGCGCCCAGGCCCAGAGTTCAGGCCCCACAACTGGACCCCCCCCCAAAAAAAGAGGTAGTGTGAGGGTGACTCTGAGAGTTCAGATCTGATAACCTATAGGGTCACTTCAGAAAGTTTCCTGAAATAAACTATATAACTTAGGGTTAGAAATGAAGGAAATATAAACAAAGTATGTCCCATACTTCTGCCATAGCTCTCAGTACCATGAGGACAGATGAGCAGAAGTCATTAGTCTGTAGTTAGAGTTTGTCCAAGAGTATAGCATCTTGTGTTCTCTGAGTCTTCTCTTTTTTACCTCTACATATTCTAATGAACTCAAAGTGATTTTCACTAAGTACTCGGAGATTAATTTTTAATCTCTCTAGTATAAGATAAAAATGTTTCTCCCTCTGCTTTGTTACTTTTACAGATAAGGAGCTGACAGATGAAAACAATTTAATTTCTCACAGTAGTGTAGACTATTCTTATAATTAGGTAGCATATATGTTACATGTTTTACATTTACGTAACAACCAGGAATATGAGTGCCCTGTGTATATTATAAATTTCCATAGTAAGAAAGAAGTAAAATAGTATATATTCACAGATATTTTTATTATAGGATTTTAATATATAGAAATATAGATAGATATTTTAAATAGAGAATATATATTCTTTATATATAAAAATTAATATAATTAAAAATTTAAATATATACCAAAGTGAAAGATAATATAATAAGCTCCAATAAACACACTTCAATGTGACATCTTTTTTGTTCTATTTTAATTATATTTTTATTATCTTCAACTAATTGTACAAAGGGGTTATCATTCAGCAAATCAGTTCATAAATACTTAAAGGCATTTTGATAGTTTTCCTCCTTTCCTCCTTCTCTTCCATCCCTCCCACCCCAACTCCTCCATTTAATTATCCTCGTTATCAGTGTTCTCAACAATATGTTATTTTTATTTTGCCAACCTCTTCATCTTAATTTTTGTTTTGTTTTTATGGAATGTTTTAAGGTATGTTTGAATGCCTAAATGTCATATTATTATTATAGCACCTATAAATATTTGAATACACATCTCTAACTGTAGATATATTCTTATATCTCACTTATTTAGTAGCAAAGGAAAGTGAGGTAGGATTCAAGTGAGAAGAGAAAACATGGTGGAGAAGGAAAACACATTAATACATATCCTCACTGTCACTGATTGTTACATTGACATAAGAAAAAGAGATAGCAGAGACATCAAGAGGAATATAGAAAAATAAAGAAAAAATAATTTATTATTTATCATTTTCTAGTTTATCTCAAACACTCTTGTCTATATCCTTATTACCCTTTGTCTTATTCCTTGCATTCACCTAACTACTTACCTCCTCTCTATCTTTAATCTGTTCCTTTCACCAACATATCATGACTCTGAACTCTGTTGCTTATGGTTCTTGCTTTTCTTCTGGAGAAAAAAAAACAACTATTGTCTGAATTATTCAGTATGACATTTATGTCCTTACAAAAAAATGCATATATGTTGCATAGGAGTGAGTATTTTGTTGTGGAAGAAGGTATGTTCTATATTTAGTAAACTGGATTACTGAGTTTTGTGCAGAAATACTGGTTTTGCAGGAGTTGTTGTGCTGCTAACAATGCCACATATTACATATATTATGACTAAAGCAAGTATGATTCTGTTGAACAATGGGAAAATTGCTGTCAATTCTGTTATTTTTTGTCTTTTTTTAAATGCATTTTGTAGAGAAAATTCTTGATTCAGAAACTGTTTATATATAACCAACTATAGTAAGATATTACATGAATATCACATACTATAAGTATTTAGCTTAGTTTACTTCAAACTATGATTATTTCAATATGGATAGTCATCATGACATAAAATGTGTCAAATGGGTATCTAGTTACTGTGATAAACTGACGGCATATATCATTCTATTGTAACTCTATGATATAATTCAGGTTTGCTAATATATATTTTTTATTTACTCTCTAGGATTATTTTTATCCAAAATACTTAGGTAAGTTTTAAGGATCTGAATCAGGTGATCTTTTGAGTTTAACTGAATTGATACATCCTATCCAATAAAACTTTACTGATCATGGGCATGAAATCTTTGCAGTTTTCATTTAAAGAAATGGACACATTTGGAATGGTTCTTAATCACATAGCATTTTCCCTTTATTTTTTGTCATTCTCACGTATCTCCTATAAAATGTCTTTGTGTTGATGCCCAGCTATCTCTAGGTACCCAAAATATCCTCTATAAATATGAATTTTCATGAGTTATTTCTCAGTGAAAAGGAACATCTCTAAAGTCTCCAGCTATGATGATGTAAGCAGTTATCATCTAAATATCTGTAGAATCATTAACCATTTTTCTGTGATACCTTTTCATATGTCTCTCAGTATTCGATAAATTTTTTATTTTGTGTATAATATTCAGAGTTTATCAAACCTACTTTAGGTAGGATATTCTTTCTCAATGGAAATGGTTATTATTTTGTACATGAACCCATACAAAATAAAGAATATACTGTGCCTTGCTTGTTTTATTTAAATGTATAACTTTAAAGATAACATACTTAAATTTAACAGACCTACTTCTGCTTAATCTAAATAGTCTATTAAATTGACAAAAAGCAAAAGTAAATGGGAACATTGAGGGTTAGCATTTGGAATACTGATACTTATGATCCTATAGGAAAGTAAGTCTTTGACATTTAGAATAATTCCTGCTATGATTTCAGAACAAGTAAATGTGGCTACTTTAAAAAAATGCATTTGTTTTTATTTACAGGTTGTCTTGGCTCTTTTCGAGCTGGAATATTTGTTGGTGGACGTCAGTCAACAAATTCTTATCCTGAACTCAGGAGCTGTGTCAATGGTAAGCAGCCCCATCATAGATCCAAAACTAAAAATAGACAAAAGTATAGCAAAGCAAAACATAAACCTTTCAAGTACAATACATTTATGTCAATGTAAAATAGTGTTTAAAAATCAATAAATGAACTGTTGAAGGGTTGTATGCCTAGTTAGGAAGTATTTTCAAACTTCATATGAATAAATATCTTTTAGTTGTAGTAAGTGCACTTGTTTAAAACAAAACGTCACCTAACATTTAAGCTGGATTGTGATCCTTAAATCACTGATTTAAATTTTTTTCTTTATAACAGCTCTATTTTGGCTACTGTTGCATAATGAAGTAGTGCAACCAAAGTTGATCAAACAGATCAAATAAACCAAAGTTGATCAAACAGATCAAATAAAGCCAGGCTTCTTCCTACAAGTCTAGTTTTGTCTTTGCCTTTGGAATGTAGTTTCACTATGTGGACAGTGATCAACATTCAGCATATGAAAAATGTCTTTCCATTGTCTACTTAAACAAAGATTATTTTTTAATTTAATTTTATTTTATTTGTGAACATACTGTACAGAGGGGTTACAATTGCATGGGCAGGATAATGCGTACATTTCTTACCAAGCATTGCAGCCTCCTCCTTTGTTTACCCTTCCCAGCCTCCCCCCTCCCCACCATCCCAATCCTTCTCCTTCCCCCCCCCCCCCCCACCCCCTTCCCCCCCCCACACCGACGTTGTAAAGCTCGTTTTGGACATGACAACTTGTACTTCTCATTGTTGCATCAGTCCACCTGTATCCTTAAACAACTGGTTTTTCCCCATCTCCTCCACAAGTTATACTGACATCAAATATGTGAGAGCAGGGGTTATACTGTGGGGGAGGGACATACAAAGCAACAAAGAGATAATCTTATAAATGCATTAGAAACACCTGCATGAAAGAAAAAACATTAAAATACATATCTAAGGGTTCATTTTCCTGACATCACATTATCTGACCTTTTCCGCTTGACTCATACATATACTAGATATTGCAAATAAGGGAAACCATGGGACCTATGTTTCTTTGGGCCTGGCTTACTTCACTTAATATAATTTTTTCCAAGTTTTTCCATTTCCTAACAAATGGGGCAATGTCATTCTTTCTGATGGAGGCATAGAATTCCATTGTGTATTTATACCACATTTTCTTGATCCATTCATCTACTGAGGGGCATCTGGGTTGGTTCCATATCTTAGCTATGGTAAATAATGCTGCAATAAACATAGTTGTGGTGGTAGCTTAGTGTGGTCTTGTTTGTAAGCATTTGGGTAAATGCCCAAAAGTGGGATTGCTGGGTCATAGGGGAGTTCTATGTGAAGTCTTTTGAGGAACCTCCATACTGCTTTCCAAAGTGGTTGGACAAGTTTACATTCCCACCAACAATGAAGTAAGGTTCCTTTCTGTCCACATCCCCTCCAGCATCTGTTGTTATTAGAGTTCTTGATTTTTGCCATTCTTTCTGGGGTGAGGTGATATCTCAATGTTGTTTTGATTTGCATTTCTTTTATGGCTAGGGATGTTGAACATTTCTTCATGTGTCTATTGGCCATCCTTCTTTCTTCTTCAGAGAAGTTTCTCTTTAAGTCTTTCGCCCACTTATTTATTGGGCAGTTGTTTCTTTGGGGATTTGTTGTTGGGGGGTTTAATTTTTTGAGTTCCAAGTATATTTTATATATGAGACCCTTGTCTGTTGTATGGCTAGTAAAGATCTTCTCCCAATCTGTGGGCTTTCTATTGATCTTGCTAGCTATGTCATTTGCCCTGCAGAAGCTCTGCAACTTTATGCAATCCCATTTGTCTAACCTTTCTTTGATTTGTTGTGTTTCCGGGTCTCTGTTCAAAAAATTTCGGCCTGAGCCAAGGAGACCTAGGGTTTCTCCTATTCCATCCTGTAATGTTTTCAGAGTGTCTGCTTTGACTTCAAGGTCTTTGATCCATTTGGAGTTGATTCTGGTGCAGGGTGATATATAAGGATCTAGCTTTAGTTTTCTACATGTAGTTAACCAATTTTGCCAGCACCATTTACTGAAGAGGCTGTCTTTCTTCCATTCTATTGTTTTAGCTCCCTTATCGAAGATTAGATGGCTATAGGTCTGTAGGTTCATTTCTGGGTTTTCAATTCTATTCCATTGGTCCTGAGGTCTGTTCTTATGCCAGTACCAAGCTGTTTTGATTACTATGGCTTTATAGTAGAGTTTGAAATTTGGTATTGATATTCCTCCAGCAGTGTTCTTTCCGTTGAGGAGTGTTTTTGCTATTCGGGGTCTTTTATTGTTCCATATGAATTTTTGGATTGCCTCTTCTATTTCCTTGAAGAATGAGGTTGGAATTTTGATAGGTATTGCGTTGAATTTGTAGATAGCCTTGGGAAGTATTGCCATTTTCACGATGTTAATCTTTCCAATCCAGGAGCATGGGAGGCTTTGCCATTTTAAACAAAGATATTTTGACGAGAAGTCTGCTGTCAATCTTGCTTTTCTCTCTTAAACCATGCATCTTCCTCTGCTTTTAAGATTTATTTTCCCAGTTGTGATTGCTTACGTCTATAATTCCAGCAACTTGGAGGTAAAGATTGTATGGGATACAGTTAAAGGCCAGCCTGGGCAGAAAGTGAAACCTCATCTCAAACACACTGAACATGATGCTGAATAACTGTAATCATAGCAATGTGGGAAATATACATAAAGATGATCATGAATCATGGTTTGAAGCAAGCCCAGGCAAGAAAGTCTGTGAGACATTTTTTTTTTGGTCGATCGTGGGGCTTGAACTCTGGGCCTGGGCGCTGTCCCTGAGCTCTTCAGCTCAAGGCAAGTGCTCTACCGCTTGAGCCACAGCACCACTGCCAGTTTTCTAGTGGTTTATTGGAGATAAGAGTCTCACAGACTTTTCTGCCCAGGCTGGCTTTGAACCATGATCCTCATATCTCAGCCTTCCAAGTAGCTAGGATTACAGGCGTGAGCCACCAGTGCCTGGCTTATGAGACTTTTTTTCCCTAGCTATATGGCTTGATCTCAGACGCAGAAGCTGGGCACTGTCCCTGAACTTTTATGCTCAACTCTAGTTCTTTACCACTTTGAACCACAGTTCCATTTTGTTTTTTGGTGGTTACTTGAAGAGTCTCACAGACTTTCCTCCCTAAGCTGGCTTTGCACCTCGATCTTCAGATCTCAGCCTTTTGAGTAGCTAAGATTACAAGTGAGAGCCACCAGTTCCAGCTGTCTATGAGACTCTAATAAACTGCTAAAGTAAATAAATACATATATACAAACATACATGCAAACATATATACATACATACAGAAGCCAGAAGTGGAGCTATGGCACAAATGGTAGAGCATTAACCTTGAGTAAAAAGGAAGTTATAAGATAGCAGCTGGCCCTGAGTTCAAACCCCAGGACTGGACCAAAAAAAAAAAAAAAAAGAAGAAGAAAAAGAGGATCATGTTCCCAAGCTACTCTAAGTCGAATACACAATAAGCTACCTGAAAAAAACTAAAGCTAAAAGTGTTCTGTGTGTTTTAAGTGGTAAAATACTTGTGGTAAAAAATCTTGTATGCACAAGATCCTGAGTTCAAATCCTTGCACTGCAAAAATAACTAAATTGGTAAATAAAAATTTGATCTTGATTTTTAAGTTTGACTAGGGCTATCTAGAATTGCCATTAACTTCAAATTAATTTAGCCCAATTATTAGACATTAGCTTTGGGAGTTTTCTACCTAATAGTAGAAATCTATAGAGGTTCTAAGGTTCTGGGATCTTGACTGATTAATTGCACAAAATAATTCCAGGTCACTTAGATCATTTCAGTCTTTCCGTCTGGCTGTTCTCCCACTCTCTGACTTTACAGTACTCTGACTAGCAACATTCCAGTTTGATCTTCCTGAATGCCAGTGTTTATTCCCTCCACCTTTGGGTTCTTTTTGAATTCCTTTCTGCTGAATGGAAATCATCCACAGGCAATTCTTATGCAATTGTATGTCTCACTTGCTTAATTCCTTTCTTTATGAATCATGTTTTTCTGCTACTCATTCCCCAATGCTTGAAAGGCATGATTCCATACATTTAACTAAGTTCTACTAATTTAATGCACAAACAGAAAATCTGTCTCCTTTCACACCATCTTTGCCCAAATTGAAATTCTGCTAATTCGGAGAGTAATTTGTTTCATTTGCCTGCCTATGAAATGGCTTCAAACACTAGATAAGGTTATATACTTGAAACAATATTTGTGTTACAACTAGCAAATATTGTACACACTTAGATTGTATCCCCAAATAGTATTGTTGTAAGGATTTGCCTAATGGGCCTACTTTGTAATGAGGAATAATTATATGAAGGAAAATTTGTATTTTTATTTGCTATTGGCTTAATGCAAAAGGATTCATCTTAAAAGAGCCATACTTTTAATTTTATATGGCATTGTATAATAAAATTTAAATAGATTTCTATTTCCTTCAGCCATTCCAGACCAGTGTAATCCTCTGCCATGCCATGAAGATGGATACTGGAGCTGTAAGGATGGCCAAGCTTCATTCACTTGCGTTTGTAAACCTGGCTGGCAAGGAACAAGGTGTGAATTTGGTATGTATAATAAAACCACCTGTGATTCATCTTTATTGGCTACATTAAAATTTCTCTGCAAATGTTATCATTCTTAATTTGTTTTTCCTTTTTTAAAATTAGATATAAATGAATGCAAAGATCCCTTCACTGTAAATGGAGGCTGTAGTCAGATGTGTGATAATACACCTGGAAGCTATCACTGTTCCTGTAGAAGTGGTTTTATTATGCTTTCAAATAAAAAAGACTGTAAAGGTAAGAGCAAGGAAGGAGAATAAGAACGTTTTTGCTGTGAGTGAACACAGTTTAGCTACAGGATCTCCTCAGGAAATCTTAGGAAACCTTGGTTGTTAATGATTATAGTAAATATCTTGAATCCTTGTAATACTTTCGGTTTACAGTATTGCCCATAAGAATATTCTGGCGCTGGAAGTGGTGCTATGGCTCAAGTGGTAGAGTGCTCACCTTGAGCTGAAGAGCACAGGGACAATGCCCAAGCTCAGAGTTCAAGCCCCACAACCCACAAAAAAAGAGTCTTATAGATGTTCCTTCCCGGGCTGGCTTTGAACAAAGAAAAAACAAAGGAAGAAAAAATATTCTGGTGCTTGCTTATTGAGTGTGTGTGTGTGCATGCACATCTCAGTAAAGAATTTTATTGCAAATCAAAGTAAAGAATTTCCTTATAAATTGAGGTTTTAGTGCAGGTGTTTCCATGTTCGACTTAGACAAAAAGATTTTTTATCCTCTCTTTTCAGAAGTTACCTACTATTATTTTTTTTCTTTGAATAGCAAAACAAAGAAATCTTAAGTACTCTTTAAAAGCTTTGCCCATTATATTTTAATATTTTCTTTTCAGAATTATTTTTGTGATTTTCAAGATAAAACCTTCATCTTGGACTTCATTTTCTATTGTGGTTCTGAGAAAGATGTTCATCTTGTTTTCTTATTCATTTAAAATCATTGGTTGTAACGCTTTTCTTTTTTCTTCTGACTTAAATGATCTCTAAATTTACCTATTGTGAGTTTGTTTTAAGCTAGGGAATTTATTTTACTTTAGATCATTGTCTCCCAGAGTTTAATTTTTTCGTATTTGCCTTTCTGTTTGGATGCTTTAATTGCTAGAACAATTCTTCAAATGTTTCATGCTACATATAAAGTAATTTGCACAAAACTTCCAAGGCGTAAGTCAAATTTTGCCTATAGGAATTAGTTACACTTAGTTTTTTCTCTTCTTCCTCAACTTTGTCTTCTTCACCCCTTCCCTCTTTTGTTTTGTAAAGAGATTAAAACATTTAACAAGTTAAAATGAAATCAAGTTTTCTTTATTAATTATAGGGTTCCTTTTCTGCCTTCTTTATCTGTTTTGGTAACTCCTTAAATTCAAATTTAAGGAATGGTCTATCCCTTATCACTTAGTAGTATTTAGCTTGAAGTTTACTATAATATTTAAAGTATAGCCAAATGATTCTTTTTTTTTTAGGCTGTGAAATCTTTTATTTTTTTATTGTGAGAATACTGTACAGAGGAGTTACAATTACATGGGCAAGATAACAAGTACATTTTTTATCAAGCATTGTTGCCTCCTCTTTGTTTCCCCTTCCCATCCCTTCCCATACTCCCCCACTTCCCACCCGGTCTTCTCCCCACTCCCCCCCAAAGTTGTAAAGTTTGTTTTTCGACATAACGACTTGTACATCTCAAATGATTCTTAAATGAACTGCATTTACAAATAAATTCTTCAAAACCATTTTCTACCTTGTGGCCATCTATCTTTTTTTTCAAAATTTTATTTTTATTGTCTTTAAATAGTTGTACAAAGGGATTTTCTGAGGTTAATTGAAGGTAAGAGTCTCATGGTCTTTCCTTCCCAGGCTGGCAATGAACCATGATCCTCAGATCCCAGTCTCCTGAGTAGCTAGGGTTACAAGTGTGAGCCACCAGTGCCTGGCTACAATGTATCTTTAGTGATATCACTCTTTGATGCATCTTTATTGATGTCATCTCTTTGATCATTCTCACCCATCCCTCCCAATGCAACCCTTCCACTCAATTTTCCTAGTATTCATGTAATATCATGATTGCATTCTCCCTCTCTTCCTCTCTTTATTTGTCTACTCCTTGCCTTTGGCCTCTCCCTCACACAAGTGCCAGTTTCCTGGTATTCATTTTGTTGGACTGTGATTTAGTGTTTTAAGGAATTACCCAATTTTAATTCTCTCCTATAAATACCATACTTCAGTTAATGTATTTGTGTGCACTTGAATACTACATTATATGTGTTTGCTTGTGCATATATGAATTAGTTCTAGCTTTCACATATGAGAGAAAAATGTGTTCTTTTTCTCTTTGGCTCTGACTTACTTCACTTAACCTAATAAAATTTGCAATTGGCATGTCATTCTTCCTAATGGATCAGTAAAATCCTATTGTGTATATATACTACTTTTTTATTGTCAAGGTGATGTACAGAGGGGTTGCAGTTACATTAGTAAGGTAATAAGTACATTTCTTATTGAACTTGTTACCCCCTCCCTCATTTTTTCTCCAATTTTTCCTCCCTCCCAATCTTCACCCCCCACAAGTTGTACAGATCATTTCCAACATATTGTCTTGTGAGTATTGCTGTTTCATTGGTCCCCCCCCCATCCTTTGACATCTAAGCTGTTTCCATACCTTGGCTATGGTGAGTAGTACTGTTATGAACATGGCTTTCATGTACCTTGGTTTGTAGTCTTTTGAATAAATGCCCCAAGAGTAGTATTGCTGAATCGTAAGTAATTCTATGTTTACTTTTTTGAGGAATCTACAAACCACTTTCCAGAATGGTTTATATTCCCATCAACAGTGAATTAGGTTTTCTTTTCCCCACATCCACGCCAGCATATGTTGTTTATATTCTTCATAATGATAATGGCTATTCTAACTGAGGTAAAATGGAATTTATTTCCTTTATGGCCAGAGATGTTTATGGCCAGAAATTTCCTTGTGTACCTATTGGTCAGTTTTACTTCTTTTGAGAAGTCTCTGTTTAGTTCCTTGCCCATTTACTAATTGGTTTGTTGATTGTTTGAGGGCTTAGTTTTGCATATTCTGGATACTATGTCAATGCCTAAATTATAGCTGACAAAGATGTTCTCTCATTCTGTAGGCTGTCTTTTAGCTTGTTGGCTATGTCCTTTACCATGCAGAAACTTCTTAGTTTGATGCAATCACATTTGTCAGTGTTCTCATTGATTTGCTGAGCCTTTGAAACTTTACTCAAAAAGTTCCTTCCTAATATGTATTCTACTCCTTTCTGTATTAGTTTTATGATATCATGTCTTCCATCTATTTTAATATCAGTACAAGTTGACAGATGGGGATCTAGTTTTCTGGATATGAATATCCAGTTTTCCCAACATCAACTGTTGAAGATTCTGTCTTTTTTCCATCCTAGATCTTTGACTCTCTTATCAAATATTAGATGGCTGTAGGTCTGGGTTTTATTCCTGTGGCTACTCTTCTGTTCAGTTGATATTTGGGTCTGTTTTTGTACTAGTTTCATGCTCTTTTTACTACTACTATAGCACTACAGTAGAATTTGAAGTTAGAATTTTTATATATACAGAACTATTATTTTTGCTCAGGATTTCTTTTGTTCATTCTTATTGGCTTATTAGAAAGTATTAGTTTGGATATTTCAAATAGTGATATTGTTAAAATATTAGTTGTAAAAACTGTTATAATTCCATATAACACATGTACTACACAGAGTACCCCTTCTACTTCTACATATAAACACTTGAATTGTGTGATTTTTCTAAACGACTTTTAACTTATCAAACATGTTTAATCTTCTCGATGGAGCTAATTAATCAAATACATACATATATACAATTTCAGAATGCCCTTTCAAAAATAAGATGTGGAGGGGAAGGGGAAAACAAATCGTTTAAATAGGGATACAAGTGGACCCATTGCAACAATGAGATGTACAAGTCATGTCAAAAACAAACTTTACAACTTTTGTGCGGGGGGGGA